ATATGTCTTGGCACTCTTCGGGTCCGACCACCGCCCCCGGCGGATGATATCGTCTATAGGCCTCCCATGCAGAGATCGTGTGTTGCTCCACCATGCCTGAGGCTATGGAGGGTGAAGCCTTGGGCATCAACCGTAACCACTGCAACGCACGATGAAACGTTTTCCGGAGGGTCTCATAGTGTAGAGGGAAAAGTTGACCTTCGATACCGACTTCTGAACGGCGAGCGGCGACGTAACTTGGGAGAATTTGGAGCATGTACGGATCGGAAATTCGGACGAACTGAATAGGACCGGTCTTAGTCTCAACGAGGCGTAATCCTGCGAGTGTAGGGAGATCCCAGTGCGCGAGCCGAGCATGGCCAGGAAGCGCAATATCTTGGACGGTGAGGTTGGGTAGCTCCTTTACACGCGAGTAGCAAGTAAATTGTACACGAAACGCGACATTGCAAACCGACAGATGACGCTTTTCGCATTCACATGCGATCACATTAAGGATAGCGTACGAAAGAGGTGGTGGGGACTTCCGGGGGACTAAACGATCCAAGCCATGAAGCGCCAAGCGACAGCCGATAAGCTTCTTACGGTGGGCGGGCACAATCAATTCGTAACCGAATACCGCATGGACCATCCGATTCTTGGCACCCCGGGACGGGTCGTCCTGATAAGTCCACACCAAAAAGTGTTGTAGTGCATCATCTATTTCGTCAGCCGAGGACGTGCACAACGCCCTCTCGCGGCAGAAGGCGGCGAAGTGAAGCACACCAGTACGATAAACCTGGAACGTTTTAGGAGCGACCGCATAGCGCTGTAGAACAGAGCAGGCGTCAAGGGCGATCTCGATTTGCTCGGCGAGAGGCGTTGCGCGGAGCGTAACGACGGGACGCGGCATCGGCGGGTTGGTAGTCAGTGGGGACCCAGTGTAAAAGCAGCTCAACGTCGGCGAGTAAAGAGTAAGCAGCAAGCTTGCGGCAAGGGCGGTTAAGGCGGCGGGGGGGGCTTTGCCCTTTGGCGAGAGCACAGAGGCCAACGAGACTATCCAAATATACCAAGACGCGCGATCTCTGAGTGACAGATGATCTCCCCATGTGACGGACAGCAAGTATTAACGATTCAATTTCCAGGACATTGATATGATAGGTGCGCGCAGCGGCCCTCCATCGATGGATAATTGCAGTCTTCCACTGTAATGAGGACCACTTTATCATAACGGGAAGGCCCGCGGCCCAAGCTGCAGAGAGCCGTTCAGAAGCTGTATCATAATCTGTATTATCATATTCAGCGCGGACTTTTTCGGAGGTGAGGTCGAGTCGTTCGGCGAGTTCGGAGGTAATGGTAATATCGATTTCGGCGAGTGCGGAAGCTATGGCGTCTGTGTCGGAGATTTCGGAGGCTCTCGAAGGTAACTGCTCCCTACCTGTAGCTGGGACATGGAAAGTCAGCGGCTCACTAACATCCGGCGGCATATCGGGGAACGCGTGCCATCCCGTGAGGACGCGGGCGTCTCCGAACAGGTCAACCAAATCTTGACCACATCCACCTTCATCCAGGTACACAACCCCGGCACCCCACGGCGAAGCATCTGTCGCGTAGATTCTAGTAGACACGGGGCGCCAAAGGTCACGGAACACGACGGGAGCAAGACCGATCAGCGCCTGGAGTTCTGTGAGTTGAGGGACGTTCAGCCGTCGCGGGACGTGCGGGCGTTTAAGGGATGCCAGACAGTACAGTTCTGAAAGCACGCTCGGCAAAGGGCGACGGAGTAGCAGCGGCCATACCCAGCGCCCTAAAAAGCGTTGCATTTCCCGAGGGGTGGCGTGCCTGCTGCGTATTAAGGCGTCGGTAGACTGTAAAAGAGCGTTCATATGGTGGCGACTGCGGTGTGACAAGTGCCGTACGGTGCACAGCAAGCCCAAGGCAGACAGTATGCGAACGCAGAGAGCTGGCGGGTTGGTCTTTTCCGGGGTGAACGGGCAGCCCACTTGCAACGAGAAGCTTTTTGATAGACTGATGACGGGTGTTGACAGCGTTCTCGGAGGTGCCAAGGACGGCTAAATTGTCAATGTACGGCAGAAGAGTGGTGACGGAACTTTGTAGCGATGAGGACAGGTAACTACCTCGGAGAAGCAACTCCTCGTCCTGAAAGCCAACGCGTCGGAGGATTTCCAAGTGTACGGCTTGGGCAAAACGTACGGCAAGGGACCAACCCATAGGAATGGCTTTGAGTGCGGGATAGTAAAAGTCGGCTTCCAAAGTAGAGTCATAGATCGGTCCCCAGATGCGAGGTAAGCCGAAGTAGCGCCATGACCAGCGGGGGGCTCTTAGACGGTTGTACATCTGACTGACATCGGAAGTGCACGTAGAAAGGGACTGAGACGAATCAAGATGAACTTTCCCGAGCATGTCTGGCGACGGGAGAACAACCGGCGCCAGCTGTTGATTGAAATACAAATTCGAACGGCGACCGTCCCATATAACCCGTTGAGGTCCATTCGATTCTTGCGTCTTGGAAATCCCAAAGATATCGTTCTCTTGTACCCCAGATCCCGACGCAAACATATGAATCATTCCTGCCGCGTACATACGGCGAAGGAGAGGGACGTAGTCCCCGTCCTTAACGTTGCAGAAAACGGGCAGACCCTTGAGCGCGTCCGATGACGGCGGACACGCAGCAAGACAGTTCCCGTCCAATACTAAGGACCGTTCATCCATGGGCAGAAGTTGCATGATATCTGCAGTGGCAGCCTCCCCGGGAGCTGGCAGCGCGACACGCGCTGAAATAAGCTTCTTGGCACGCGCACCCCTGCGAGCAACGTAATCGGGGAGGTGAGGAGGCTCGTCAGCTGCGGCAAGTGCGTCCGGAAGGCGCACGAAATCAGTAACGGCCTGAGACAGTGTTTGCTTCGCAAGAGCGGGGACGGTGAAGTCCTCTGCGGAGCGATGCATAGTGCCGCTCCGTAGCCATTCGACGGAACACAACAGTTGGTCCAACACTTCGGGTGCTTGCGGACGAGTTGATTCCAAGGACATATCGATGGCACGGTTGTAGTGTGATGGCGTTTTTTTAAAGTCTTTTTGCCACAATTTGTTGTTCACCATGACACGATCGATGAAGAGGGAGGCTAAAACCCGAGATTGAAATACCCTGTTGTAATGAAAATTACGCACAAAATGTAGTGACTTAGAGCAGGTAGCTGTTCCCTGGTATAGTATAGTTCAGCGAGCGCCAAGAGACAAACAAGTGAGCTCTAGCTCCGAGGGGAGGCGGGAGCGGGGATATGATAGGCTAGATAGAACAAACAAATAGAAAGAAAAATAGAAAAATAAAGCAGAAAATAAAAGGAAAAAGAAAGGAGCAGGGAACGGAAATGAGCAACAGCACGGGAGCAAGCAAGGAACTCTCGCTTGTGCTACTTGGTGTCCGACTTTCTCACGTCGGATTTTGACTTGCGGAGCAACTTGTACGCTGCAGCGCTACTTCCACCAAACGGCCCCAGAAACAACTTTGTCCCTTCCCACGCTTGCGGCCTTTTGTGGCGTTTGTAGTCTTCGGCTATACTGAAGAGGACGGTGAGGCGCCGCACAAGGCTCTCAACTGCATCACTCCTCACAGCGAGGGCGGGATGAAGTGAGTCTATGGCAATAATAAGATGCTGTCCCATGCTGCTGATCTCGCTCTTGAGAGGACGATCACCAAATTCATCAGACAGCTTACCCAGGGCCCGATTGACCCGATCCTGTAGATCCCCACCGTTACGGGTCCAGTGCAATATTTGTGGACCAGTAACTCTCTCGTGAGGCGCGAAGGCGGAAGTGACGAGGCGGTCCTTGTGACTGTAATGCATATCATAAGCCGCCTTACACTCAGCAATGACCTCAGGCGAGTCAGGGTCCCTGTTTTTTCCCATGAGGAGCTGGCGAATGACCAGCCGCTCCTGATTAAAACCTCGAGATAATCAATGAGCTCCTCTTTGGTCTTAATTTTCAGGCGATATTGGGATACAGTGCGTGTAAATTCAAGCCCTGTGCTGAGGTGTGTCTGCCACGTACGAGGGAGGCGCGCAACAAGCGTGTCATATTCCTTGGTCTCATCTGCCGACAGGTCAGATGTGCGAATGAGAGGCTGTGCCAGGGTGTCAGCCACGATCCCACCCCCATCTTCACCGCACTCGGGATCTACTTCCACTTCGGAATCAGTACCAGCCGCATGTTCTGCCAGGCGCAATCGGGAGGCCATTGAGTCATCGCGAGCAGCCCCGGGAGGACCACGCACTCCGTGCTGCGACAAGTGACCTGCCTCCGGCTCGAGACGCTCCCCGCCACCAGTGTCCGTTGTCGCATAAACACCCCACACCCGGCGGAGGGGGTGTTCGCGATGCTCGGCGGAAGACCCCGGATCGGCGTACCGAGGGTCTTGAACCAACCAACGCCACCGGAAGCGGGCCGGTAGCGGGTGGTAGAGCGTGGTCGGCGGGGACGCGCGCGTAGGCGAGCGGATCGACGCCTCGACGCCCCGGAGCAGTACCGGTTGACGATCCGGTACTGACGGGCGGAGGCGGATCGCAGCTCGCCGCGGTGTTGCGCGCGTCCACTACCCGCTCGGTGGTCACTACTCGCGGAACGGCGGTGTGAGTAGAGTAAGCTGGGTGGTCGACCGTCGGTGGAGGGTTGCCTGTCCTGGTCCCCTCTGCCGGCGGTCGCTCCCTATATTTATTGTACAAGTTAATTAACCGTCTACAGTACAGTATGGACTGTACTGTAGTCGGCTTACTGTAGACAGTGCGGGCCGGCCCGCACTGTAACGCTGTCAGCCGTCGGGGCTTACAGCACACGTGTGCTACACGTGGGGTACACGTGTTAGTGCGCGCGCGCTGTAAGGTATGCGCGCGCACACGCTGTAAGGTCCGTACCTTACAGCGTTAGATCTAATTCTAAATCTAATATATAGTACAGTAGTCGGCGGTTATGCTACACGGCCCCCCCTAAAGAGGGAACCTCCGCGTTCACAGCAACTCTTCATATCTAGGTCGAGGCCTCCCGTCATCCGTCAGCCCTCGTCCCCTCTCCTCCCCTGAGTCCTGCTTTCTCTCCGGCTCCCTTCGCTCCCGCGTTCCGCAAAAGTCCAGTGCCGTTACTCCATCTTCTCTCACGTTTTGTCCTCCTGCGTTACTCTTTCCCATGTCTGTCATGCCCGCTCTCAAAGCGGGGCGGCAGGATGTCGCGCAACAGCGGCGTGACCCAGTCCAACTGCGCCTCCCGTTTGTCCTCCGCAACTGCCGTTATTTGCATTGGAAGCACACTGGTTGTGTTGTACATTAAGGCTTCGTGGCTCCACCGGTAGGTCACCGAGCCGAGGAGCATGCCAAAGACCCACCGCAAGAGTTTCGACACTCGTGGTGCTCGCTAGCCTTCGTTTAACCGCCTCGCACTGGATTTGTCGTGCTACTGTACGACGCAATCGTAGCGCGGGGTGCGATGTGGTGCGGTCGACGGGAGCAGCCGTCAGTGCGCGAGACGCTTCGGCGCGTTGCGTCATACTAGGTAGCCCTACGCTCGAAGCCTCGACTGCCGTGTCCCGCGTCCCGTCTGCCCCAACAGCAACGGGCGCACGGGGTCCTCGTCTGACCATGCTATGCCTATCCCGCTTCGGGGGCCAGCTCCCTCTTCGGCGTTGCTACCCCACGCCATCGTTTTGCGTAGGGAAGATCTCACCCCCACGTCGCGATCGCCTGTGCCGTCGTTGGCAAGGGCGACGTCCTTGTGTATCTCCGCGCCGTGCTGACCGTCGCGAAGCGTTTTCGCAATTTGCCCGTACCGGGAGCAAACTTTGCGAACTCGCCCAGTAGAACCGCTTCGTCGTACGCGACGAGAATTCTCGATCCGCCGGATGCCACGACGGGCAGTGCGATCCTCGTTCCGAGCGCGGTGCGCGTTCCTTGCACCGACCCGATGCATCCCTTTCGCCCTTTCGAATCGCGGGCGGTTGGATCGGCGGCTGCTGGAGGGGTCAGTGTTTTCGGTAGCGGTAGCGAGGCGGCCGCTCCCCGGGGTTGGGAGTCTGAATTCTGTAGTTATCTCTGCGAGGGCAGGAGGAACCCTTGGCGCGATCGGAGGCGCTCCACGCGCAGTCGTGTTCCAAAGTTTGAGGGGTGACTACAGTTCGTCCCTTCATCCACCTTGGTGTTCCGTGGGGGTTCCACCCGTTGGTAATCGGTGGTTCGTGACACGGCGCACACACTGGTCGAACCCGGTTGCAGGCGGTCTGTCGTCCTCGTATTATCCCCTTCGTTGGGCCAGGCGAGAGCATGTAGACCTTCCGTCCTGGTGACAACCAACGACGCGCCGTTGATCTCGTTCGATCGGTAGTTGAGTTCCCGCGGTGTCCACGTTTCCTTGCTCACCGGGGGTGACGCCGCCCGACGCTCGTCGGACCTGGAGTACTCGGGGCATTGCACGCGCCCCAGAGGTGGATTGTTGCTCGAGATCCGCCGGTAGATCCCGCCGATGTTCTACAATGTGGTTGTTTCGTGGACCCCTTTTTGACGTTCGCCGATCATGCAAGCATCTGTACCACCTCTCTGTCACGGTCTCCGTCTCTCGGAGCGCCGGTAGCGGGGTGGGGGCGCGGCGGTTCCGCATTCGTTGACAACCCTGCCTGGCCCCTCCGGGATGTGCGGTGAGGTACGCCACCATCTGAGTCGGGGATAGCGGATTGCGAGGGGGCGGGCCGGTTGCCATGCTGCCTCTCAAAGCGCAGATGTTGCACAGCGCGTGGGCGGCGGGAAGTTGGTCGCGAACGGCAGCGCATCAGGCAGCGGCGGATGCGCTGGGCGCGGCGCTCGATCGCGCGGGCGTCTGGCCGAGCTAGCTCTCTTCGACTCGATCATGCGCGTCCCTCTCAGGCAAGGAAGAGGGGAGCGGTGCGCTGTCCGAAGGCCCGTGTACACGTCCGATGAGTACACAGGCCCCGCGCCGCCGGCCTGCCAGTGTCCGTCCGACCCCTACTGTATGCAGTGTCTACAACGTTTGTTGTGTACAGTATTCCTGCGCGCGCGTGCGCGTGCACGAAAAGGCACATCCCTGAGTCCTTAATCATCGCCTCCAAAATTTGCAAAAAATGTTTTCCCGCGAAAATCATTTTTGCCAAAAAATCAACAGCAATGCTCGTGATGGGTGAGCAGTCAAATCACCAGAAATTGTCCAAATTTTCGCGCGAAACCATATTCTGCCAAAAAATCAACAGCAATGCTGTCGTCGCCGCTCCAAACGGCGGCGAGCTTCTCCACTTCCTTCAGTGACTATGTTCCCATCTCGTCGCGGTTCTACGCCGTCACTGTACGTCAACCGGATCGTCGCTCTCGTCGTTCTCCCCTGCGCAGGAGTGGTCATGCGTTGGCGGGCACCGTGATAACCCCCCACCGACGGCTAGGTCTGGGGCGCTTCTGTTCGCGTCCGCGCGCAGTCCGCTTGCGCGTCGTCGCACGGGTCTCACCGGGCATGTTCGCATCCACGTCGTCCTGGCAACTGTCATACGATTGCGTTGGCCCAAGTGGTCTCCTCGGCAACGAAAAGGGTCTCCTTCTTCGTGGAGCAGTCGGGGCCACCCACCGATGCGGTGCCGAGCGCATGCCTTAGAATCGGTGTCCGACGTCTCCCTCGGCGTGAATCGTTCACCGCGAACGAGTCACGATTTCGGCACTCGTCCCTTTCGGTCGCGTCGAGTGCTATCGGCTTCTCTTCTACGGAAACTGTCCTACCGTAACGTCCCCGTGCGGGGGCGTGAGTTCTTATATATGCGCGCTAGCACGGTAGTGCGCAGCTTGACATGGGGTAGTCCGGCCGAACGAGGGATAACGAGGCCCTTGACGAATGGATTCCCTCGTATTCGCGCCACAGGGAACGAGTCTCTCGACATGGTCAGGTAATTTATGTAGCCAATCCTTGCCGAGTTACCCTCGGAGGGCGAAGTAGGCAGTATATGCGACTAGAGCGGCCGGGCGCCTGGACGCGCTCTTCGGTGGGGTCCCCGCGCTCGCGAGCGAGTCGGGGGTGACGTGTACGCAGGTTAGGTCGCTCGAGCGCAACCTTGCGCGCCCCTTGTCGTGTTGTGTAGACGTGAGGGCCCGTTGCGGCGACGAGCGTAAGGACGGGTGAGGACGCGACGGCGCATTTGGAAGCGAGTTGGCGGGCACGAGCGTCCTGCATCTTGGCGACGGAAGTGGGGTCGTATCGCGCCGAGATGATGCGAGCACATCACATCGTGCGTACCCCAATTGCGTACTGGGAGCGTGTTGCCCAAACGTCGATTGCTTGTGTCGCGCGCGTCTTGTACGCATACGTACTGCACGTTTTTTTTCGCTCGCGCATCGGATCTCGGATCCCGTGTGTACTTGTCACTGCCCACGCGCGCGCACTTAACGATCGCATGTGGTCGCTGCTGGTCTGGTCCCTTCCCTCAGGGGTCGTCCCCTCCTGCGCAGTACGGACTGCCCCAGGCCTTCGAGTCGCGTTCGGAAAACATCCATCACTTCGGCTTGATGGTCTTACAGCGCGCTGGTGTTTCTCATCGCCTCATCGATCACCGCGAGGGTCGTTCCCCCTCGAGCAGTACAGACTGCCTGGGGCTAATGCGTTACGCGTTCGGTAAGTGTCGATCCCTTCGGCTTGATGTTCTTCCCTGCTCGCAATCATTGTGCTGTACTCTGTTTGTAGACGCCGGAATTGCAACGGCTTCGTGAGTATAGCGCACCGGCGCATGTCGTGGTGTTCGTTGGGAGGTCGTATCCTCCCTCCTTTCACTTGACGTCCCAGGGCTACTGTTCGTGACACAGTACGCCCTGTCTCACGACCCGCCTCTCGTCGGTGATGGCGGTTCGTGTCGCGTGGACTTGCGTTGTCCGTGCGTCGACTGGACATCCCATGCTTCCCCGAAGTTGGTCGGCCACCCTCGTTGTGTCCTTGCGTAGACCCCCGCCCTTTCCGACGGCGAAGGGGGGGTTTAATTATTCCGGTCGACGGAGCGGTTGAGGGGCCCCCTCCTTAAGAGTGAACGTCCGCGTTCACTTCGGAGTTAAGGTCCCTCCCCGTGCGTCTTCGAAGACGCAGCGCATATCGAGACACCAATTCTTCGGGGATGTGGGTGCGTGCCGTCCAAGTGGGTTGGTCGTAGTCCGCCCACTTCATGAGGAACTCCGTTGTTCCGTCTTCCATCTCTCGATGCTTGAGTAGCCTCTCCACGGCGTACTCTGTTCCCTCCCTGACCTTGTCGGCAAGGTCACGCGGGGTCGTCGTGCTCATCCGTGGCACGTCCATCGGCGGGGGCGCGTACACGCAGCGGTCTGCGGACACCCGCTCGGTGACGCCATCACGATGGATTGTGATGGTTCGACGATCGTTGGCGAGGACACGGTACGGCCCCACGGCGGGCGAGGCGAGCTTGTTAGACGTCTTGTCCCCGTCGGTGGGGTTCAGGTAGATGAAGTTACCTGGCTCGAGACGTGTGTTAACCGTTCGAACGCGCTTACCGAAGTCGCGTTTGTAACGGGCTTGCGTTCGTCGCAAGCTCCCGTAGGCCTTCTGGATCGTCGCGTCCAGGGTCTTGAGGAACTCCGCACGCTGCGTTCCCCTATCGGCAGGTGGAACGTCCCCGTCGGTTCGTCGAAGAGAAAACTCCGGCGGGGGCCGGCTGAGCACGAGCTCAAACGGGGTCGTTCGTGTGGTTTGGTGTACGTGGGAGTTATATGCGTACGTTAACGGTCCCACGTACACGTCCCAGTCGTCTTGATGCTCGTTCACGTAATTGCGGAGCATCGCCGCAATCGTTCGGTTATAGCGTTCCACCTGGCCGTTCGTCTGAGGGTGGTACGCTGACGTATAAAGGTTCGTAATTCCAAGCACTCGGCATGTGCTTTGGAAGAACTTTGCGTTGAACTGCGGTCCGTTATCCGACAGTAGCGAGCGTGGGACGCCGTACTTAAAGACCCACGGTTCGCAAAACGCCACTGCGACAGTGTAGGCGGTTACCGTCCGCAGTGCGACGACCTGCGTTAACTTCGTAAAGCGGTCGGTGATTACCAGGAGGAATCGTTTCCCTGCCTTGGTCTTTGGGAGCGGCCCCAGTATATCGATCGCGAGACTCTCCAACGGCTGCGTCGCCGGAAACAACCTTAATCGGTTTAGGTGTTTCCGAAGCTTGACGCGGTTCATCGCACAGGTTCGACAACCTCGTACGGTCGACGCGACGTCCGCGGCCAAGTGTGGCCAGTAGTACTCGCGACGGAGCGCGTAGTACATGCGGTTCTGCCCTGGATGCCCGGCGATGGCAGGGTTATGGCAGAGCCACAGCAACCGGGCGCGTAGAGTCCGAGGAACCACCACCTGTACGATATCAGGGTCGAAGAGGTGTCTCCGTTTGAGCACCCCTTGGTGGTCCTCGAAGAACGCGGAGTCCCGGGACTCTGACTGTCGTGCCAATACCGTTTGGCACAAGTCATCCACGCGTTGTTCCTCGGCTATCTCCTCTATCGTAAGAGGGGCCGGCAGGTCGTCCTGCGGAGGGGCGACCTGGGAACCGGACGTACCGGCTTCGAAGTCTTGGGCGCGATCGAGGTCCACGGCGTCGAATTACTCGTTCTTTGCCCAGAAGGCTTCGGGTTCTTCTAGAGCAGGGGCTTCGTCGTCGCCCCTCGGCTCGTCGCGCGCTCGGGCGCGCAATTTCCTTCGGGATGTCGTTCGGTTCCTTGTAATCACGAAGACGTGGTTGGCCTCGTGGTCGCAGCTCGCGGTGCATACGTGGTCCGCGAGCTCATCCGAGACATCACGAAAGGTCGTGCACGTGTCGTAGGTGGGGAAGTCGTTGTCCACCTCGACAGCCGGGCGAGGGTCGTCGGCGACCTTCGGTGATACGAGGCGTGACAGAGCGTCGGGGATGTGGTGCACGCGCCCGGGGCGGTACT